CAAGTGACGGCCGAGTCAAGTCGTTCACATCCTTGTTTCATGAGAAAGGAAATGAACGAATTGACGAGAAGGCTGGAAAAAGAAAGAAAGGAGAAAGAACAGAGACAAGAGGTTAATCAAAAGTTGATGGCCGATGTTGCCCGTCAAAATGTTGTCATTGACGATCTTCAGCGCAAAATGAACAGCATGACGTCAGAAGTGAAATATCCAAGGAACGAGACAAGAGAAAATGGCGATTTCTTCACCGGAAGACGAAAGATATTTGTCTGCGGAGGGTGTGACGATAAATATTTCCTTAATACCGTAGAATCGTTCAGCTGGCCTGAGAATATCTGGACACCAGAACCAGCAATGAACATGGGACGAGAAAGTGCTTCTTCGTTTGTATACGAGGGTCAAATATATGTCAGTGGAGGAAGGACTGGAGACGAGTTTACTGACACTATTGAAATGCAGAGAATGGATCAAGAATGGATCGAAGCTCCTGTCAAGATGCCAATCAAGTGTGAAGGACACGGAATGGTTTGTAGCGAAGATAAAGCAATTTTAACTGGCGGGAGTATTGACGAGGAGAATTTTTCTGATGGGATTTACGAAATTAAACTAACTCCCCCATACACGACGAGATTATTGACCAGGTTGCCAGAGAGAAGATGTTATCACGGTTGTCAGATTATTGACAACGAAGTCATGGTTGCTGGTGGACAGACATTAAAAGAATGCGACGACACTAAAAGCACTGTATATTCATACGATATAAAAAAAAATAAATGCAAAACCCTGCCGCCACTGCCATTTCCTATCGCTGATATGGCAACTATTAGTTATGAAGGTAATATAATTTTGATTGGAGGTCATAACGAGAAAGGCGAAACATTGAACACAGTATTCATGTACGAAGTGAAAACAGGTAAAATTAAGATGTTACCTCGTCTTAATCATAAAAGAGCGGGAAGTGCAGCAGTTATCACTGGCAATATGATTATCGTCATGGGCGGTTATGATTATGAAACTGAAGCACATCTTAATTCAGTCGAGTGCTTAGATTTAAGTGCCAATGAATGGAGAGAACTGGCCCCAATGACAGAGAAACGAAGTTATGCCACTGCAGCTACAATTTCCTAACATGACAACATCTATTCATTCATTTATTTAGTGAGGGTTGTCCAATACTGTCAAATAGACACGACCCGTACGACCCGTAAAATTGTTTGGATTGAATGAAGGTCGTATCGATCCGTACGATTTTTCAAACAGTCGATACGACCCGTGCAAGTGGAGAAATGCATTTGCCAAATTACACGAGAATTTCAAAATTTGTCCTAATCTTGTTCAGATTTAAATGCAGCTTCTGGTCTTAAAATACCAAACGAAAGGGTGGCCCGATTAACTAAAGGGGGCCCGATTGAAGAAAGAACCTAATTAGCGAAGCTGTCGAGTTCGGTGCGTGTAGAAAACTAGTTGAAAATGGCTCGGCAACCTTTTTACACCAAGCCCAACATTTTCAAGTACTTTGCTTTTAGGTTCTTTCAGGCTTAAGTCAGGGGCCCTTTGAGGTTGGGGGCCCCACCTGCCCCCCATTGAGGTTGGGGGCCCCACCTGCCCCCCTTTAGGTTGGTGGGCCCCACCTGCCCCCTTTGAGGTTGGTGGGCCCCACCTGCCCCCTTTGAGGTTGGGGGTCCCACAAGCCCCCATTTGAGGTTGGGGGCCCCACCTGCCCCCATTTGAGGTTGGGGGCCCCACCACCCCTCTCGGCGGCCCTGCGTACAAGTGGAGAAGTAGATTATGCTGTGTTGGCTGATGTCGATGGAAGGGGCTATCTCTATTCGTCGACCCGTACGATTTCTGAAATTGTACGTTTTCTATGTTAAATTTTATGTGGTTTTAAAAAGAACGAGGAAATTCTATGTTTTAATGAGCTATAACAAACGAACGAACTCGTGTCTATTTGACGGTATTGGACATGTGTGTATTTAGTAAGCATGCCGTAGCCTTTTTTCAACCTTTAGGAAATCACAATCATGTCATTTTGCACTGTGAGACTTTTAATTTAAACTACTTAATTAACTGAAAATAGATTAATAAAATAGAATAGAACCACAAACTTAGTCTGTTTTTATGTTGGCATTGGTCGAGTGGAATTATACACACTTCAAATTCAAGCCAGGAACAGCTGATGGAAAAATGAGTCACTATAGGTCCTCCGGCAGGAATCGAACCTACGCTTTTGCGATGCCGGTGCAATGCTTTTGCCACTGGGTGGCTTGAACTTGAAGTGTGTATAATTCCACTGGAAATTAAGACCTTTAAACCCCTAGAATTCACGTGAATCGAGTGAAGTGCCAAAAATCACAATTGATTTATAGTCAAGTTATGTTGAGTATTGTTCATATTAAATAATAGATTTTCTAAAGTAGAAGGGAGATCACCCCCCCCCCCAGTTTGAAGAGGGGGTCTCGGCTCCAAAACGCCTTCCCCCATTTCAACAGCACTGCATTTCACTAGTCTACTTCTAAATCAAATATTATGGGCACGAAAGTTGTTTTAAGTAAACAAGACGCCTGTTCTGGCGTTAACTCCGGCGCACGTGCCAGTCTTTAATATAGAGCTTCTGAACATAAACAATACAGTTCATATTCGCATTTAGATGCCTTGCGAACCTAAACGATCGCGAAATTCAGAAGCACATCGCAGTATAGAAGTTCAATTGTTCAAAAATGTAAATAAACCGCATGATACATTCGCTTCGTCTTACACTTTGCCTTTGGAATTCGCGCTTATATAGTTATATTAAATCTTCGATCCTGTGCAAACTACGACGTGTCAACGCGCCCATACACGACTACATCATCTTGTTAAACGGCGAGATAGCAGCGATATTATCAAAATAGGACCGGAATCTACATGTATTAAATATATTCTTACCCCAATTCAATCTAAACTTAATCGAACAGCATGAAAAGAATGGTTTATTTGTTCCTCTTGGAGAATTGCCGTATCATGCGAGCGAAATCGAATCGCGCATTGGAAAATTAGCCAAAGCTGTGCACCACAACTCTTGGGAGATAAGACTGGGACGTAGATAAATACAGTCACATACACATTTTAAGTACTAGAATATTTCGCGCCATTACAGACTTGCGACGACGAAAAATAAAAAAAAAACAAAAACAAAAACAAAACAAAACCGGGGCGAATTTTCAACTCCGTCGCTGACGCCGGAGTAATTATAGTTCAATGAGTCCCTTGGTCCTAGAGTACTGAGATCAGAGTTGCTGATCAACGAATATTTTCTCATAAAGAACGTGTCCCCAGTCTCTTTCGTGGTGTCGCGCGGCAATTATCATTGACCATGTTTATTTATGTAGAAATTTAACAAAAACTTTTATTTTTCACACAAATTCGTTCACATCTCATGGGAAATTTACTTTCAAGTGTATGGGGTCGTCTTGTAGGTCGCGAAGACGTACGAATATTAATGGTTGGCTTGGATAACGCTGGAAAAACAACAATTTTATACCAACTCAAATTTGGCAAGGTCATTTCGAGTGTGCCAACAATAGGCTTCAACGTGGAAACTGTCTCGTACAAAAATATTTCGTTCACTGTATGGGATATTGGCGGACAGGATAAGATACGAAATTTATGGAGGGTATATTTCCAAGGCTCTCAAGGAATAATATTTGTGATAGATAGCTCAGATCGGGAACGCATGTCTGAAGTACGGACCGAAATGATGCGTTTGTTGACCGAGGACGAATTAGAAAATGTACATTTGTTGGTGTTTGCCAACAAGCAGGACGTTGAGAATTCCATGAGCACGGCTGACATCCGGGAAGAGCTCGGGTTGAACAACCTGAAGAAGAGATCTTGGTTTGTCCAGGCGACATGTGCAACCAAGGCGGAAGGACTAACCGAGGGGTTGGACTGGCTGGCAAACCAGATTCAAAATAGACCAAGAATGTAATATAATATTGCTAGGCACATTGTAATTGTTGGATGTAACATCTTATGTCGTAAATTATGATCTGAAAACAAAAATGATGCATTTTAGCCCTGTTTTTACACTGCACTGATTTTTCGGGATGGCACGGCTAAAATGGTACCCGAACTAATTTCATCTATGCTGAGGCCTTTGTAGTGGCAGTTACTAGTCTGAACACAAAAAAGTTGGTTTAGAGAGTTAGAGTACAACTTTTAGCTGTTCCATGCCAATGAATTAAGTGCTGTGTAAACCGAGCTCTTACAAACCATTCTTATGATATTTAAGTGCTGGCCCCAATAGAGGTTTTGTCAGCTATGTCTAAAACTGGATATATTCTGTTTGCACATTGTTTTTTTGCTTTTCCCCAAACAATGTGCAGACTCTATCCTGATTACTCCAATATTTAAAAGGGGCCGGGTTACAGTAGCATATACGCATCGGTTCTGCTCGTAAGAGTGGCATAGCATGAACATAAACTTTCTCTCATATTCATTTAAAAGTAGTGAACTGAGAGCATGTCAAATATTCAGATATTTTAGGAAATATGTGAATTCAAAGTGTAGACAAAGCATTCCTTTACATAACTGTAACCTGCCTTTAAGTTTAATTCAATTTCAATTCATTTCTTCTATTTCTTCCTACCAATGAAAGCATAGCTTGAAATATAAAAAAATTGCAAAGGAAAGAAAAACTATCTTCTTGACTAAAAACTTTGTTCATTCAGAAGAACTGGTACCAGTGGGTTCTTTTGCATACAAGCACAGAAAATATTTGTATACAGACATACATTTCTAAAATCCAAAATTGGATTGCTCACAGCCTGAATGCAGGACCAGAATTGGCTCATATTGATCCCATGACCGTACTTTCAATCAAATGAGAGTGTTGGTGTTGGAAATTTTACCCTAATCATTGCCAATAATTACAAAAGAAATCTACCACCAATTTATAGTAAAATTCTAATTGACATTGAATTCTCATTGAATTGACATTGAATTCTCTATGACATCTGAGACTTAGATTTTAGCATACAGTTGATAACCAACTATTTCTAGTTTCACTAAAAATTTAGTTTAATTTAATTTTTGGGTAAAATCTTTCTGGCACCAGCCCCCTAAGATCATAGTGACTAGCAAGTTTAACTGCTTTGAATTGAAAATAAAAGACCATGAAAAAATAACATTAAGTTATATAATTAATAGATAAATAATGAAGTGTACAAATATTGCACAACTTTCTTTCAAACTCACAACCATTACAATTAAAGATAATATTGAGAATCTTGTTTGATTTCTCACTATATAAATAATGTTATCTATAAGGTCTGTTCATATTTTAGTAGAAAAAGGTTTTGTTTATAAGATGTAATTGATATTTTTTGTAGTGAAGGGTGGTTTTGTTCTCAAGGTAGGTTTTCATATGCACACGAATTATCGGGGCGATTTTGGCTCTCGCTGGATGTTAATGAAGAATGTTGGTTAGTAGATGATGTCGTCATGCTGACGTATGCTTCACTAAATTCCATATAACATCAACGTACACCAGAATCGATCCAAAAAATTCGTGTAAAAATGAAATTGTAAATGCACTTGAATTAACTTTAGTCAAGCGTTTCTACTTTTTAAATAATATGAAAAGGACATAACTCCTATTAATTCGCACTTATAACTTGCCTAAAAGGTATTCTTTAGTTAGTAAAATAATATTTTTTAGAATATTCGTTGATGTCAAAAGTTGATTTTGTCATTTTTCCTCAGAATGGTCGTAACACGAACAGAACTTTAAAGGAAAATTTAGCCGATAGTTTTCCATATCATTTTATCATCTATATATTAACTGTTTTCTCCAGTCAAGTCCCGCCCCGGCCCGTCCGTTAAAGCCTTGCTAAAAGCATCAATATTCCTTTCTAAGCATTTACAAAATCCTTTGGACAGTGGGAAGAGCGGAAATTCAGGTGTTTTAAATTGTTCTGTTTTCTGCAATGACATTTCTGGCGAAACGTCGCAGTCGTTTTCCAGAAGTGTTGAGGTGCCTACCAGCTCTGCCTTCGGCTTTGAGCTTTCGGGATATTCATGTGAATTTGACAGCCAACTTTTATATCTTTCAATGATTCTAAAATAATAGCGATGTATTTGTTCTTTATTTATTATTGTATATTTTCTATAGGAACTTGTTTATGTTGAAAATTGCCGGAAAATTTCTCGCGTTAAAATTATCGCGTAAATTCGGGTCGGATGCCCAAGCAAAGCATGTTGACTCAAAGAGCATAAAAATTGCTTCAAAAATTGTACATTAAAACACGAAGTTGTAGAGTGCAACTGGGCAGGCGATTAAGAAACCTGGCATTATAAGAATTGAAGAGGTTGATGGCATAAAGGGAGTTTAACAAAACGACAATTAAGAGATGAATTTCATTCAAATTCGCAGTAAAAAATGCAAGTGTAATCAGGGCTTGAATAAAGTTGTTTGAAGACGCATCTGGTTGTCACTCGTATGAGAGGATGTTTGATCGAATCAAGGAAGGATTTACTGGCAACTTCAATTTTTCCTTTCGCAAAGAAACTGTATATGCAACCTCGTAGCCAGGCTGTATATGAAGAAAAAAGACGAATTTTCGAAAGAGCGTTGGCCAGAAAAATAAATTCAGGAGTTTTAAATTTTGAATATATAGGGTAACACATGACCGTACCAACGCCTGCAAGAACACCCTAGCTTCACCAATTCGAAATCATCATCAGCTATTATTACGAAAAAGAACCATAATTTAATCTCTTGGTTTGTTGTGTGTCAAAAGACATTGGTTTCATCGAAGCATCGTTGCTTCAAATTCATCATGCACTATTATGGCAAGTGCGTTTTCTATTTGAGCGCGTTTTTAGGTCTTCAACAATATATTTTAGCGATTTTACCCCCATTGGGGTTATAGGTTAGCTCGAACGAGAAATTTTACCAGAACACTTTCTTTTTACCAGAACATTTGTTCGTGAGAACGTCAATAAAATGACTGGTCTTCCCTCAAACAAAGGTTTCATTTAAAAGCTGGTTTTGTCAGCTTTTCGACACAGAACGTGTGTGTACAATTGACCACGACGGTCTGTCGTTTTAACTACTCTTTTTGTAGTTAAATGAAGTAAAATAGATTTTGACCGCTGATTCTAGCACAAATTATAGTTAAATCTAACTATAATTCCTGTCACTGACTCAATTAAGTCGAGTTATCAACAATGGCCCAAGTCGGTAAACACCGGCTATTTTTGGCGCCAAAAGTATTAAACTAGGCTGATATAAACGATACCAAACATTATCCTACCTTTGACCGTTCTTCTGAAAGTGTTTCTTTATTTCCTCGCCAAAAACGGGATGTTTTAATTTGACGGTGACCGCCATGGACGATATAAGATGAAGTATTGCCATCTCGTTGTAAAGGCGGGAATTTTCGATGCCTTCCTTTGTTCCTCTTCGCTTCTCGTAACCAGCCTCGTTGTAGTAAGGTTCTTTACACAGAATCAAGGCTACAAAACAAAATATCACGTCTTGTTCACCAAAAATCGTAATAAACATTGCAAGTGTAATATAATAAACGTCTAACAAATAATCAACGACAAACCTTGGATTGACAAGAGAACTTGCAGTAGGTTTGATTTCTCGGTCCAACTCTCCGTGTTTTTGCCCGACCACGTGCCCAGGAGACTGGTACACACCGTACCGTCAACATAAAGATTGGGATTCAGCACGCTGGTCGTCATGGAAACAAAGAACACCATGGGAGGGGAGGCAGGGTAGTCGGATGGTAGTTTGATATCGAAGAGGAATACACCACCCTCGTAGGGAGTGTCTTTGGGTCCAAAGATAAGGACGGTAAAAAGACCCTGTAATGAGAAAAATATATTATAAATACTATCTGCGTGTTACCCTCCATATCTGTAGTTCAACCAAGCAAGGAAAAATAATCTTTAACAAAAGATATAATCGATTAAATTCAGCAGAATGGATTTCTATTAGCCATTTCCCAATCGAGCAGGGTACTGGGTCTATTCGCGAACCGCAAAGCATTTGTGTACTGCATGTTTGGAGGGACAGGAAATATAAGTTTGAAATCATTTGTCCCTTCAAACAGTCCATAGATGCTTTGCGGTTCGCGACTAGACCCAGTACCCTGTTAGATTAAGAAATGGCTAATTAGGACAACCCTTCTGAACACTGGTGGGCACTAAATGCTTCGTCTCATCATTTAGAAGAAAAACTACAGCACTCACTTACCATCGCATCCTCAAAACCTCGAATCATGATTCCGGCCGGTAAAGAAGATTTCAATAACAACATTTCTTTGCGAACGACGGACATAAACTTTCTTGGTTTATCTGGGGTGAAGTTTTTCACGAAATGGTCGGCATAATAATGGTGGCCCTCATGGGTCGAGTTCAACATCAAGAACGCTTCTTCTAAAAAATAAAACAAATCTGTTGGACCTGACTGGTGGTAGACCTAACCAATGGAACTGACTGGTGGTACACCTAACCAATGGACCGAACTGGTGGATCTAACTAATGGACCCAACTGGTGAAACTAACCAATGGACCCAACTGGTGGACCTAACCATTGGACCCAACTGGTGGATCTAACCAATGGATCCAACTAGTGGATCTAACCAATGGATCCAACTAGTGGATCTAACCAATGAAGATGGACCTGAGTTAAAACGAGGCATGAATCCCTACCTGTTTCACTTTCAACCGAATCAACTTGGTTTTCAATATTATTGGCATTATTTAAAGCTTCGATATCGACGTTACTAATGGTCGGACTGGTTGGTTCTTCATTTTGATCTTCTGATGGCGCGGCACTTGAAATTAAAACAGGCGGACCATTTTCATCATTTTCACCCAAGCCTTCCGCAGGATAATGACCATCTTCACTGGCCGTCTCCCAAGCCTCGCTCCCAGAATTCTCGCCACTAGAGTCGCTTTCTGATTGGCTTTCTTCGTCCTCACTCTCGACTTTGTACAGTTCATGTGGACAATGTCTGATGGGACGAGTGTTCCCCTCCCCAGCCCAATCTACTACCACGTATCCATCTAAGTCCACACATATCACCTGTAATCGAATAAATGTATGTGTCCATTACACATACGATAAAAAAAATCGATAATGAAATTTGAGTCTACAAAGATTATCTTACTCCTAACCTTAGTCCCAATTCTAACCTTGCTCCTAACACTGACCATAATCTTAATCAAAGCCTTAATTCAAAACCTTAATTCCAATCCCTAATTCTAATGCTAATCATCTGGCGTAATTACCTGTCCTGCCACCCCACGACCCTTGCTATCCCCTTGCTTCCCATGATCCAATTCGATCACTAAATCACCCGGATTGAAAACCATATCGACATTCTCAGCCAAGTCATACACGCTGACGTCACTCTCAATCCCACGATCCTCTCCACTCGTCGAGAACCACCTCACAGCGCATGTTCGGTCAACATCGGAGGAGCTTCGTATCACACCGTATTTCTCGAACTTTACTGGACCCGAGCTATTTATGAAAGCTAAAAACACATAAATTAGTCAGATCAGAAATGATAGAGCTATGCAGTATAAATAAAGTTAGTTTAGTTTAGGTTTCCTCCTGTAGTAACACTGGATCAATAAGAGATGATCCTTACTGGAACAACTGGACCTCTAGGAAGAACAGTTTAGAATCAACCATACCTCTCTTATCGTTCACGATATAACCAGGAAAGAATTGATGATCATCGATATGATAGATTGCATTCAGATCGAAAGTATCAATATTAGTTTCCACTCTCCCATCTTGCCACATGACATCAGCTCTTGTTTTCGTGTTTATCACCTCAACACAAACTCTGTCTCCGGGCTTGACTTTCAAACTGTTCGACTGCTGTTTTCGCTTATGTTTGAATCGCTTGCGTCGTCGCCTCGTCGATGGTTTGGACGAGAGATCCTGTTTCGACGTTTTTAGTTTTGGTTGATCCTGGCCGTCAGACTCCACGTCACCCTCGTCGCTTTCAGAGTCGTTCGGTGTCGAGGATTTCTTTGTATTGTCTTCATCCAATGAAGTCGTTGATGGCTGGTCTGAGAAACATAAATGGTAAGAATGCATTGGAGATCTTTCAAACCTGTAAGGATTGTCTCTGATTCACATGCAGTAATTAACGGAAGACCTCTAAACTAAACTAATTTTAATTATACTAGATAGCTCTATCAGTTCTAAACTGTTCTTCCTAGAGGTCCAGTAAGGATCATCTCTCATTGATCCAGTGTTACTGCAGGAGGTAACCTAAACTAAACTAACTTTATTTATACTGGATAGCTCTATCAGTTCTAAACTGTTCTTCCTAGAGGTCCAGTAAGGATCATCTCTCATTGATCCAGTGTTACTACAGGAGGAAACCTAAACTAAATAAACTCTATTTATACTGGATAGCTCTATCAGTTCTAAACTGTTCTTCCTAGAGGTCCAGTAAGGATAATTTCTTATTGATCCAGTGTTACTACAGGAGAAAACCTAAACTAAACTAACTTTACTTATACACGAGGAAACCTAAACTTTCCTGAGGGTCAAGCAAGTTAGACTACTTTAAAATGTTTATTCCATTGCCATTCACCAGTCGAAGAAACGAACCTGTTTTTATTACCTGATATGACAGAGGTCAAAGATATGGTAACTTGATTAAGTGATGTCTCCGAGTTTTGTTTCGACACATCATTTTCAATTCGTTCACAAGATGTCATCTTATTGCAAGCTTCCTCCGAAATACCAAGACCGTCCGTTTCTTTGGCGTTACCGTGACTATCAACCCCTTGCTCAGACGACACATCTGTATTAAAAATCACTCCATTCTAAGACTATAATTTTAGTTACTGAATCGCGCAATCAGGAATCATTTAAAATTCCAAGGTGCAATGATAACCAATTTGTGCAGTGATAAATTTTTAGAGATGTATATTTTAGGAGATATTCATTGAAATGGGCTATTATTTGACAACTTGTCCTTTCCCGCCATTTCAGATCACATGGCCCCAACGAAGGTGATTATTGAAAATTCTGGCCTCTGATTGGTCGAGCGATCTCTGATTATTACGCGGCAATAGCCTATGTGGGATTTTCAAAATGGCGGCGAGTTGTTTTTGACAAAGTGACAGATGAAAAAATCTGTTATTTACTGAAAAAAATACTGTACCCAAGACAGCGAAATAAGCGGAAAAAAGGCTTAAAATATTTTCGAATTAAAAAACTACGTTGTAGAAAGGTGTTTAACTTTATTACGCAATAAACATCGTTTTATTTATTTGAACTATTTCGCCGTATTAAAAATCGTCGATTTGTTAATATTTACGTTTGTAAAATTGTGTTTCCTACTACAAAATTTCCTAGGATAATCCCTGCGGTCATTCATTTATAAACTACTGTCTTTCCAACGCATAATTTTACCTTGTTTGTGCTGTCCTGCTGAGGTCACATCCAGCGAACCAGTTTCGATTGCATCTTCCTCAACGTCTTGTTCTTTGACAACATAAAAACATTTATCGCCAACCTGCACTTGACGCCAGTGTTGGGGAAACACTTTGATCCTTCAAGAGGGAAATTGTAGGGGAAATTAGACAAAATTCTGATTACAAAAGGAGATAGAAATATATTAAAATATATTGTTTTGTAATATTCATAACTTATAATTAAAATCAGCGAGGATTCTCAATATGACGCTCATCACAATGAGGAGAAAAGATGAATAAATTGCTGAGGGTGGCAGTAAAAAACTGTGTCTATATCCCATCACATCACAATTTCAAGATTTCAGGCTTCATTGGAGGGGCATATATTATGGACTCAGTTAAACAAGACATTAAAATCAAAAATACAGAAGAAAAATAAATTTATGGAAAGGGTAAAGAAAAGAACAATTTGAACATTATAATATAAAGTTCTTTGAAAGTTTGCATGGCGCAATAATAGTAATTTTGGACGGTTGTTTTTGGACACACCAGATAAATTTAGTTTAGCTAAAATTTTAGTTTAACTAAATTCATGTGGTGTTTCCACGGACAATTAATCATTTGAACATTACTTGTTAATTTTCTCTTCAGTGATGATATTTTCGGGCGGTTTGTTGTAATCTTCTTTCTTTCCACCAGGAGGAAGGGAACCATATGATTGCCAGTAGACTTCAAGTTTCACTACTTTAGCCTAGGAAGTGGAGGGAACATCTTTAATATAAAGGGTCAGGATATATTTGCTTTTAGTGTCCCTGTCATTAGGACCATTGCTACCAATTGGGTCATGACTTTACTATTTTCTCATAATGACCATATCCTGGACATTACTAAAGGAATACCTATCACCTAACCCCACCCATCACCATTACCATCACCTAACCCTACCTATCACTATTACAATCACCTAACCCCACCTACCACAATACCTATCACCTAACCCCAGCCATCACCATCACCTGACCACACCCACACTACGCTACACCCAACACCCTCCCTAGACCTTATTCCCACTGTCCCACACAATCAGACCACTCCCGCAACACAATCACCAAATTACCCCACACCTGACTATAGACAACATCAACATCATAAGTCACTATCTCAAACACCAGTCAATGTCCTTCTCCTCCCACTAAACTCACCTCCTCAACAACAGCCTTGATCTTATTCTGATCAGAAAGAATTGGTTTAATTTTAGTCAGCCACTTTGCATTGTTGAATGCCTGAGCTGGACCAACCACAGACTGGCTGGGATAAAATGCAGGGTTATAAAATGGGCAATCTTCATCCCTTTTGTCCAGCGCATCAGAAAAGAAGTCAAGTGCATCGCCTTCAATTGAACATCTAGAAAACAGAGTGGAAAATAATAAGTTTTCGTTTCAAAGACCTAAACTTTTTCAACTATTTACGGTACAAACCTTGATCCATTTTTTAGCCATAACACAATACGACTGTAAGCTTTACGGACATACCCAATCCATGGCCCGAGGGAAATGCGAGTCCATTCAGACATTGGCTGTGTTGAAGAGATAAAATATACCATGTAATGTTTCAAATCAGGTTGTTTCAATATCCATTTGGCTCTGTTAACTAACAGGAAATACCCACTCAAACCTCAGACCTGTTTTAGTTATCATGATGAACAAAAACATTACATTGTGTAAATATTGGTTATCAAGTGGCAGTTATTATTTTACCTGAAGTGGGAAGATGTATTTTCTACAGTCAACATTTCGAATAATTTTGTCTGTTCCAAGAATGCAGATATCTGCTGCGATATGGATATCCTTGACATATCCCTTCAAATTCTGCTCTGTCGTGTGGCGAACAACGTCGCTAGGCTGAAGGCTTCGATCGACTAATTCAATCTGAGTAAAGAGAATGAGAACCTCATTAAGACACTGGTGTTAAACTCGACTTAAACTTGTTGCCAAACAGTATTCCTTTTCTAGCACAAAAGAAAAATCAATTGGCAGGTTATAATAGATCATTTAGACCACCTGCATGCATTCCTAGCGATCAAAGCGAATTACAAAAAAATGGTCACCGTTTTAAAATGAATACTTATATTAAAGCAAAGATTTTATGTACAACTGTGATTTTTGTAGTGTACAACTGTATTTGTACATTTCAAAATGGATCTCAATGTTTCAGGGACCTATAACCGAAATAAAACGCAACAAATCGGCAGGAAGACAAACACAACACGAACAAAACAGCAGGTCAAATTGTTAACCTTTGATTCATTGATTACTTCTTCATTACCGTTTGGATACCAACACACTAATATCTCGCCATTTTTAACTTTAACGTCTTCTTCAGACGATTCGGAACTCTCTTCTGAGTCCGAGATATTATTACCAGTTCTTAAAACGAGACCGATTTTGCTCGAACCGTCTTTAGTTCTCAAAAGACGGACAATGTCCTCAGAATGAATGTCCTTCCCGGCCGCCATATTGGATTCAAAACTGTTCTGCGACGACATGGTTCCCTTTTCTCATGGTATTTACCACTGCCCATGCCTAATTATGAGCCCGCTACAACACGTACCCCCCCCGCAGGTTTTTATGATTTTCTTCGTTTTGTCGTCAAAATAGGCGATTTTTTTCGATATATGTTAACCTGCAGTAAAGCGTTTAAAGTCATAGATACTGTTTTTGCCAATGCCAGCTAATATAGATATTAAAATGTCAAAAAAGTGGACAAAACTAAAGATTTACGGACTCTTTGGTTGATTTATCTCGTTTCTTTTTACATTTATATTATTACACAATTCATGTATGAAATTTAGAAATGCCTTTTCGCACTATCATCGGAGATTTTTAGCATCTTTTTATGGATATCAATCAGACTTTTAAACTCCAAAACTAATGAATTGTTATGAAGTTATCTTCGACTTCTTGCAATTGCCTTGCATAACCCAAAAAGGCCAAATCTCAGAGAAGACACTAGGAAGTTCACTAATATTGTTGTCTAATTGCACCTCTAGTCATGAAAATCAAAACAGTTTAATACCAAATAATGGTGTTTATTAAAGTCAGTTTGCATACAATATGGGAATTAAATTACAGAAAATGCAAGTAAATAATATTATAGTACCCAGGATTGGTACACCAACTATCATAGTCACTCATTTTTCTGCAGTAGTTCATCGACGATTTTTCAGCGACGCTTGTCATACATCACACTGCATACACCTGTCAAAGTCAATTTACGTCTTTTTAATAAAATTCAATAGAAAATACGTTTTCAAAATCAATTCTATATTTAAATACACTGAAAACAACTTAAATTGTATACTAATGGCTGATTCTTTTGCAACACACATGTACAGTTCTTCAATGTTTACGACCGTCAGTGCTCTGGGATTTGAACCCAGAAGCCAAACATTTCTTTCTTCAACAACTTCATGTAGAATGGACTCAAAGGAGTTTGGCTCCAACCATGGACACTCTTTTTCAAAGCCAAACGAAAAGGAGGGAAACCGGAGTGCCCGGAGAAAAACCCTCCTGACCGGCGGGTCCGGTCCGAACTCCGAATTTGGTATTTTGATTTCGAAAATAGAATTTCCGCATTAAATATTATTCAGGGTTGAGCCGGTTTGCAGGTTATCTCAAACAGCGCGAATTTATCAAATGACCCATAGTTAAATAAAATTATACAATATATACAATATAAAAGATCCTGGTGGTCTCAGAAAAGGCGCACGCGGCACGTTCTTTGCGCAAAATAAATTTTCATCTTTCAAAAGTGCGCGCTTTGTCTTGGTAACCAAAATTATCTTCCATCTCGAAATGTTTGTGATTTTGGAAATCATATTTCAGTTTCGAAACCAAAGGACACTCGACTATTGTCCCCCAAATGTCAATTTCTCATGCAAAGTTTAGGCGCTCGAAGAGCGACATATTTTTGCCTACGCCGGACTATCGTCGCTCAAGCATCCAGAAATAAAAGTGATCGGGCCCAAATCACTCTTATTTACTCCTTACTTGAGACGACCAGTTTAAACCAGGGGCTGGGAGAACATGCAAAAACTGTAGTTCGAAAATTGAAAATAAATTATGAGGTAAATAGAAGAGTGTCCATGGTCAGAAATAAAATAGTTCATGCAATTACGAAAATGTTCTATTTAGGAATTTAGTGTTGGTGCATGCTTTTATGAAAAACGAAGCATTTTTGATGAACAACATTACATAATAGCAGTTATATAATTATATAACTGCTTTGATTTATAAATTCGCATTCGTCTTAAATTAAGACCAATGTGAATTTTTTCAAGTTTACGAGCACCGAAATTTTAAAACGGTTCATGCACAGTTGAATATCTTTTTCGTTTATAATCTCATGCAGGATACAGCGCCTTGCAATCGTTTGAATCTACACGTAAGTCACAAAAGCAAGGATTTTTTAACGAGTATAACTTCAACGTGCACTAAAAATAGAAGAGCTGTATATTTTACCTCTACCGCAAAGCGGCCATGCGAAAATATGGTATCATCATGCACAAGCCAAAGGGGAGAATTGTCACTTGCGTGTAAATGCATCGAGGTTAGACCACCAGGACCTACTAGAATAACTATTAGCTTAACTATGATATAAAATGGAATGGTACCTGACCACGGATGAGCTTACTGGTTCTTTAACATCTGTCTTCGGGTCTTTCACCATCTGTCTTCGCGGGTCTATCATCTGTCTTCGTGTTCTTCTTCATCTGTCTTCGGGTCAACATCTAATTTGAGATCAATGTGTAAATACACTCAAGGTTAAAGTAGCAGGAAATTTAACAACGAAACTTATTATTCATCATGCATTAGATCTAGAAGTTCTGGAAACGACACTAAAGTACGACACATATAGTATGCATTTACTCTTAATGCGTCTTCACCAACCTTCATCATCGACATTTTTGGGCTCGTCAACATCTGTCTTCGGTCCATCAGCATCTAATTGGAGATCAGTGTTTAAAATATTTAAGATTAAAGCAGGTAAGTAAAGTAACACTTTTTATTCATCATGCATGCAATAGATCTATAAGGATACCGAGGATACCGAGGTACGACACCTATGGTAAATATCTTTTAACGAATCTTTACCGACCTTTGTCATTGACATCTTCGGGTCCATCAGCATCTGTCTTCGGGTCCATCAGCATCTGTCTTCGGGCCATCAGCATCTAATTGAAAATCAGTGTGTAAAACATTCAAGATTAAAGCAGGAAAGTTTACAACGACAAATTTTATTCATCATGCATTAGTTCTATAAGTTCTGGAAACGACACTAAAGTACAACCCTAAAGTAAGCATTTACTCTTAATGCAACTTCACCAACCTTCAGCATCGACATCTTCGGGTTCATCAGCATCTGTCTTCGGGTCATCAGCATCTAATTGGAGATCAGTGTGTAAAACATTTAAGATTAAAGAAGGTAGGTCAACTAACATTTTTTTTATTTATCATGCATTAGATCTATAAGTTCTGGAAAAGATACTGAAGTACGTCACCTATGGTAAGCTTCTTCTTTTAATGAATCTTCACTAACCTTCATAATCGACATCTTCGGGTCCATCAGCATCTGTCTTCGGGCCATCAGCATCTGTCTTCGGGTCCATCAGCATCTGTCTTCGGGTCCATCAGCATCTGTCTTCGGGCCATCAGCATCTAATTGGAAATCAGTTTGTAAAACATTCAAGATTAAAGCAGGAAAGTTTACAACGACAAATTTTATTCATCATGCATTAGTTCTATAAGTTCTGGAAACGACACTAAAGTACGATGCTATAGTAAGCATTTACTCTTAATGCATCTTCACCAACCTTCAGCATCGACATCTTCGGGTTCATCAACATCTGTCTTCGGATCCATCAGCATCTGTTTTCGGGTCATCAGCATCTAATTGGAGATCAGTGTGTGAAACATTCAAGATTAAAGAAGGTAAGTTAACTAACATTTTTTATTTATCATGCATTAGATCTATAAGTTCTGGAAAAGATACTGAAGTACGTCACCTATGGTAAGCTTCTTCTTTTAATGAATCTTCACCAACCTTCATCATCGACATCTTCGGGTCCATCAGCATCTAATTGGAAATCAGTTTGTAAAACATTCAAGATTAAAGCAGGAAAGTTTACAACGACAAATTTTATTCATCATGCATTAGTTCTATAAGTTCTGGAAACGACACTAAAGTACAACCCTATAGTAAGCATTTATTCTTAATGCATCTTCACCAACCTTCAGTATCGACATCTTCGGGTCCACCAGCATCTGTCTTCGGGTCATCATCATCTAATTGGAGATGATTGTGTAAAACATTCAAGATTAAATTAGGCAGGTTAACTAACACATTTTATTCATCCATGCATTAGATCTATAAGTTCTGGAAAAGATACCGAAGTACGACCCTATAGTAAGCATCTACTCTTAATGAATCTTCACTAACCTTCAGCATCGACATCTTCGGGTCCATCAGCATCTGTCTTCGGGTCCATCAGCATTTGTCTTCGGGTCCATCAGCATCTGTCTTCGGTTCAGCGTCTAATTGAGATCAATGGGTAAATACATTTAAGTTCAGAGTACCTGGAATGACAACAACGACTGGAAAATATACCGAAGTACGACAGCTATAGCAAGCATCTTAGTTTAATAAATCTTCACCAACCTTCAACAGCTCATTGTAGTTCCTTTTCCTTGGCCATCCCGATACACAACCAAATACAAAATGGTTTTTGGAAGAGAGAAATTACTTTTCATGCACACAAATTGTTTTGTCTTGCATTTTTTTGCAAAAAAATCAACTGTTATCTCCTTGTAGCGGTTAATTTTTCATTGAAAAGTTTAGGCGCTCTGAAAGCGACATATTTTTGCCGAACTATCCTCGTTTAAGCATTCAGAAAATAAAAGTGATCGGGCCCAAATCACTTTTATTTACTTCTTACTTGAGAGGAGCAGGTTAACTCATGCAGGGGTTGGGCGAACATGCGAAAACTGTAGTTCGAAAATTGAAAATCAAGGAGGTAAACAGCAGAGGGCATTAAATGCCTAAACATCAAATACGTTTTGTTTTAAAGCCAAACTGAAATCAATCGGTTTGAACTCGATTTTATTTCTAAGGATTTTGTATTTGTTTGTGCCATTCGATGGGCGTTCCAATGTCATATCTCTTCTTTACGACGGTATGTTGCTCTGAAAGAAACAAAAGCAAAAAAAAGCACGTTCAGACAACCTCCAGGAACACAAGGACGCTCCTCATAAACAGCGACTGGCAAGGATTTATTTGCATGCACTTGGATTCGGTCCAAAATTTCTTTAATGCTTTCCACTTCACTTCAACGCGTTTCGTTTAACTAACGGCACAAGAAAGAAAAGACAAACTCGTGTTAGCTTTTACTAGATGAACACCTATTCAAGCAAGCTTAAAACCAAACGACTCTGCGAGAATTTTGATAGGATTCGGCCATCAGACGCCGCTAATCTCGCTATTCAAATTCAACAACAATTTGAACTAATACAATAAACAGGCAAACGGGTGCTTTGAACGAAGCTAGTTCGCGTTCGCTAAACTAGTTCTTCGACTTTTCTCTTCCAAACAAACTCTTCTATTTCTTCCGACGCTTCTGACTTCTTCTGAGATCCTTGTTTTTTGAAGACTTGAGCTTATAGCTGAGCCTCTTAATATGTACTTGCTGGGTTGAACTTAACTGAGTTATCTCCCACACAGCTGATTGTGATTGGACAATCCTCCATATTGATCTATTGTTTCTGATACACCATTGTTTCTTCTATTAAACATGCCACATTGGCTGAATGAATTAGACAAACATCTTTATTATTGCTATCAAGAGATCAAGTAAACAAAAGCTCCCAAACAAAGCATTACACTGCATGTTTGCCTTGTTTATCAAACACTGTGCAACGTGATTTAGGGGCTGTTTACATGAGCCCGGTTACACGAGATTCAACGAAGCGTGAGATGATTTTGAGGTATTAAAATGAGCAGATAACATGATCCTGACAGTCGTATAATCACCACAACAATAGCATGTGCTTGTTTGGTGTCATAAAGACTTATTTGAATACCACAAAGTCATCTCACGCTTCGTTGAATCTCGGGTAACCGGGCTCATGTAAACATCCCCTCAGTTGAAGCTAATGTGCAGTGTTTTTACATAATCAAGCTTATACCCGATATTTACCATATAGCGCTGAGGGTAAAACTGTGGTCTAAGCGGTCATACAAACAGAGTATTTCGCTAAGAATATATAGCGTTAGCGATGAAACTGCATTTTCCGTGCTAGCAGATGTAAATAACGATATACTTGAATGCAGAGTTCTTGAAACACTCTAAGATATCAGTTATCTGCTGAAATCTGTACTGAAATACAACCGGACCGGTCTGGTCCACGAGTGTAGAACAAGAAGATGCTTCCGTCTGTTTGATTTGTTGAACAGGGAAAGAAAAGCCATTAATATATCATTGAGATGAAATACGATGAAATACCAAAATAATTACATACCGAAAACCGAGAATATGAAGCATACCTTTTAACAATGCTGTAATTATTAGTCAGTCTGCTCCCTGCTTTCCTAAATATATTATAAGCACAGTGTAGTATATATTGTTCGAGTATAGTATACTAGTATTATATTAATGGTATGTATATCTTGGTAAAACAGTTAAAAATAGATCAGACTATCAGCTACAATATACATGATAAAGCAAGCTAGTATAGTTCCGAATTTCTTGTTGCATAAGTGCACTTTCTTGAGCCTCGGTAACTAATCCTCACGATCACGTCTATCGAAGGAAGCAAAACGCACATAAATTCGCGACAAAAATTACCCGTGTCAACTAGCCTTACGAAGTTACGATTCGCCGTTTTTAATTTCCATACACTCAGACGGATTTCGAGTTTCCACTTGTCCAACAACAAGCAGTCTCAGATCGGCCCATTCAACAAAGTCCCCAGGGTTGTTCCAGCATCGTCTGGCAAAAGCAGCAATCATACGGGCTGGAAAAGTCCGTCGATATATTTGTAACAAAGAAAGTTCGCCAATGAACTGATACTTCAGTTGTGCAGTCGAGTTATAGGTGTTTTGTTTTGCGCCAATAACCAGGAAACCATTGTTCGTGGTGATAGGACCGCCCGGAACGACGTTGTCAAGGATGCTGTGACCATTATGAAATGCTTGGAGACTGTCCTGGGTTGATGAATACACTATCATGAAATGCTGCCAATCTTCCGTGAGACTTGAGAGAGGCAAAAATACAGAACTAAAAATACATAATTTTACGTGTTTCGATAAGAAAGCTACCATGGATAAGAAAGACGCCGATGTATTTCGTTTTAAAATAGGTTTACATGAATGAATATATTTTAATGATTGAAGTAACTAAGGTCAACAGCTCCTCAACTGAAATGAAATGAAATGAAATGAAATGAAATGAAATGAAATGAAATGAAAAGACATACATAATTTTACGTGTTTCGATAAGAAAGCTATCATGGATAAGAAAGACGCCGATGTATTTCGTTTTAAAATAGGTTTACATGAATGAATATATTTTAATGATTGAAGTAACTAAGGTCAACAGCTCCTCAACTGAAATGAAATGAAATGAAATGAAATGAAATGAAATGAAATGAAATGAAATGAAAAGAAATGAAATGAAATGAAATGAAAATGAAATGAAATGAAATGAAATGAAATGAAATGAAATGAAATGAAACGAAATGAAATGAAATGAAATGAAATGAAATGAAATGAAATGAAATGAAATGAAATGAAATGAAATGAAATGAAATGAGATGAAATGAAATGAAATGAGATGAAATGAAATGAAATGAAATGAAATGAAATGAAATGAAATGAAATGAAATGAAATGAAATGAAATGAAATGAAATGAAATGAAATGAAATGAAATGAAATGAAATGAAATGAAATGAAATGAAATGAAATGAAATAAAACGAGATGAGATGAGATGAGATGAGATGAAATGAAATGAAATGAGATGAAACGAAACGAAACGAAACGAAACGAAACGAGATGAGATGAAATGAAATGAGATGAAATGAAATTGGATGAACTAATCTGAACTGAACTGAAGGGAAGTGAACTGAACTAAACTGGGCTGAACTGAATTGGATCAAATGGAACGGAACTCTTCTAAACTGATATTTCAAAAATGTCATAATACCTTTTCTGTCCCTGAATTACGACCGACATTTCTGTGGTATTAAAATGGACATTAAACTCGTTTAGTTGAGTCGCCACAGCGCTTGATATCAATGTAAACTCGTCGGCTAATGATGGAATTTTGATCCAAAAAGCCACTGCCAATTCATCCATATCTTCTGTGTACAAACTTTTCAGCAGGATATAATTCATGTTCAGGCTATCTTTAGATTTGTTTGGGAATATTAGGTCAAACTGTCCTGTGACGAAGAAAAAGATGATAGAATTTAAAACTATTTTCAAAATCCCAATGATTTAAAAACTCACAGACTTTTGCATTACCGCTTAAAATCATGCAGCTTTTATATGTCACAGTAAAACCAGGTCAGCCAGTCAAGAGGCGGAGGAAATATAAGTTTGAATGGTCTGTTCTCGTTTTCACTTGGAAGTAAACTCGCTTGGGGTTAGGTGAAATAAGCTATTAAAATTAGCCCATTTGGGTGGAAGGTCAAAGATACCCTCGAACACCATAATCATCATGAATTCGCTGTAAAAATGGCGGGAATTCGATCTTAAATGGAATTTATTTTCAAATTTAGGTCGGTGAAGAAAACAGTTTTAAAACAATTGTACTGTCACATCAATTTGGCGAGGCCTTGCAAACTTTTCATAGGTTTTATTCCCGGCATGCCGTCCTATTTTTGTCAAAAAAGCGTAAACATTTGCAAACGGAAAGTTAAGGTTATTTTGATATCGATATTCTATTTACAGGAAGAAAATTTCATAACTTAAGTAGAAAACTTCACCTTACATAAACAAACTCCGTAACTATAAAGGTAGCCATGCTAGCCATCTTAAACGATTCTATTTTGCAGCTAAGTTACAGTAATAACTTAATCAAACCTTTTTAAACAATGGCGCCATAATACTTTCACGATATTGCTATAGAAAACAATACCTGGACGATTGTGGCATTTGGATGGAGACGACACCACGACACCTGCTGTCTCTTGCACCATTTTCCAAGAAAAAATATCCCCGGCAATATTTCCTGGATTTAGTGCCAAAGTAATGATAACTTTCTTAGTGAGGGAAAATGACCACAAGTTAAGACTTGTTATGTCTGCGTCAAGCTTACTATCTCCAATACGCACTTTAGCATTGAGGATCTCTGGCACCTCTCCGTTTAGTAAAACACCGCTGAATCCATCATTGAACAGGTTGCCGTTCTTGTACAACAAAAGTGTCCCAGTTTCGCTTTCCCAATGCCATAACAAGTGAAACCATCTTGTGTTTGTTATAACATTTGAAATCTCTCTAGGCCTAGGGAAATTTAAATGGTGGTGAACAGTTCGTAATATAAACAAGAGTCGCTTCGTTTACATTACAAAGTGCTTTTAATATATATTTCCTAAAATATGGACATTAATTTATTATATATAATATGCAAGTGTTTCATTGGTAAATCCGCCATTTTGAAAAGCAACAATGACACTTGTGTTTGATCCAGGAAGAAGGTAGAAATAAGATTCCTTTAAATCTTCCGGCATGTTGTGATTAGTTTTTCAATAATAACAAAAATTGGATACTTGGAAATATGGAATTTATTTCGAGTGTTAAGAATGATATCGAACGAGCTATAATTTTGAACACGATATTGATTTCATATGTCCTCTACAGCAATCTTTTTGAAGCGAAAAATTACCAATCATCTTGGAAACAAATCTTATAACTTACTTATCTGAGTGAATTTTAAACCTCAAGCCATGATCCGTAGCATTTTGTCTTAACACCACTATCGCCCTATCATCAGATCCAAGGCCAAAAATTCTTGCGTCTGTGACGGTGGTAACCCTCAACCACATCGCCAGAACCAAAGTTTTCATCGGCAGCACATCTGCGATTTTTATGTCAATATCCGGAGCATTACGGAACTTCAAATCATAGTTTCCTGCAATGGAAAGAAATTGGTTTAAGATTTATTTGTCAATATACATTCGAGAAAGGTTTAATGAAATCTTCAACCGTTATCGATCAGCACATGCCTGAAAAGCAACGACGCTACAAATTTGGTGCTGGCAGTTTTTAAAGAGACCCACAAATTTTAAAATACTTACATCTAACCAGGTTATACCGCACAACGGGTTAGTTTCGATTTTTAGGTTGAAAAAAACATTATCTGGTGAATAGTGCTATACAGCTTTAAAGCGCTGTTAAGCTATGCAATTTTCCTTGCAACCTGCAATGCGATTATAATTTTGAGGGATGTTCATTTGTAAAGAGTGTTCGAAATGCTAAGAAAACGTCAGCATATCGTAGAAGATGTCATTGGGAGATGTTCGTATTTGACAGCTTCAGATACCTCAGAAGTAGAATTGCATTGCAAGTTGCCGGGAGCAAGAAGCAGTCCTCGATGAGTTTGAGTCAATGAGAGACTACACCAATCTATAGTGGAACCTCGTTATTGGAGACATATCCCTGTGTGGTGATTCTAGCCATTGCATGTGTGTAGTTCATTTGTAGTTTATGTGTAGTTCATTGCAACTTTTTAACATGGCAAATTTATAAAACAAATAAAACAATAAAACACCAACCTATATCGGGTTCATCACTTGGCGATATAAACACAGAGTCGCTTGAATTAGAATTGGACTTATAAAAATCCTTCCAGTCGACGCGAAATGGCTCAGGGACGGATCTGGAGAATTTTGGTTCGTTTACAACTCCCACGAGTTCAAATACACTAAACCCTGAATTGTCGTCCAGCAAGTATAGCCTGGTGATGGTCAAATTTGATCTCGTATTCACTGCAACGTTACCAGGAGATGTTTGTTCAAACGCCGGTACCAATACCCCGGTTCCTTCAATGGTAATTCCATGAGGTGATTTGATAGTTGTGTTCTTAACCTCAAACGCGAAACCGTTGTGGTAGAAGATCAGCTCGGTTTTATATTTTAAGTCAAAGCTCAGGTGACTCCATTTATCCAATGGCAGAATGACATCGAAAACCCTGAAATCACAAAAATCAAGTAATTGTTCATCTGGTACAAAATTGGTTTAGTTTTCTCTGTAGTAACACTGGATCAATAAGTGATGATCCTTACTGGACCTCTAGGAAGAACAGTTTAGAACTGATAGAGCTATCCAGTATAAATAAAGTTAGTTTAGTTTAGGTTTCCTCCTGTGGTAACACTGGATCAATTAGAGATGATCCTTACTGAACCTCTAGGAAGAACAGTTTAGAACTGATAGAGCTATCCAGTATAAATAAAGTTAGTTTAGTTTAGGTTTCCTCCTGTAGTAACACTGGATCAATAAGAGATGATCCTTACTGAACCTCTAGGAAGAACAGTTTAGAACTGATAGAGCTATCCAGTATAAATAAAGTTAGTTTAGTTTAGGTTTCCTCCTGTAGTAACACTGGATCAATTAGAGATGATCCTTACTGAACCTCTAGGAAGAACAGTTTAGAACTGATAGAGCTATCCAGTATAAATAAAGTTAGTTTAGTTTAGGTTTCCTCCTGTAGTAACACTGGATCAATAAGAGATGATCCTTACTGAACCTCTAGGAAGAACAGTTTACAACTGATAGAGTTATCCAGTATAAATAAAGTTAGTTTAGTTTAGGTTTCCTCCTGTAGTAACACTGGATTGATAAGAGATGATCCTTACTGGACCTTTAGGAAGAACATTTTTACTTTACTTACATAACTTCACCGCCAAGATGAAGAATAACATGTGCTTGATTGAACAACAAAACCATTTCTCTGGGATTGGTAGTCGTGGCGTAGCTAAACACAACACCTTCACTGGACATTGGTTTCAACCAGAGATACACGGCCAAATGCGTAGTGAATGCGTTTCCTGTTACGGACACTGAAGTGTAGTCACTCGTTGCATTCATGTCGTAACTCAGAAGGAAACTCCCTACGGAAAATCGATGCGAAAATCTAATATACATAACTTCTGCCGAGTACTTTTACATCAAATTATGTTCATTAGCGGACGATGTTGTCATAACACATAAAATGCACACAGCATACAAACAGTTGATACTGCATATCCCAACAGAACTGCAGCAAGCTTGCAAAAGACTGACTTTAAACAACGAAGACCAAACAACTCGCTAACACAGCTTATATTTCAACTATATTCCATGATAAAGTTACTTAATTTCCTTCCAATGATTGTTTAATTTCATCACGCTGAATGGTTATATTAAAGATGTCCCGACTTCTATGCTATCCAAAGCAAGATGTTTAGCTTTGAAGTTCAAACATTTACGTTCGGAATCGCAAATACAGTTTAAAACTAAACAGCCAGAAAAAAACATTAAACTTTGAATAATAATTTTACCTTAATACATTTATACAATACGTCAATATTACATATAATATGGAAAAAAAAACATACCAGTCTTCAGGATCTCACAAGACTTGCCAGTATATGAACTTGCACATTGACAGATACCTTCTCTGCAAGTACCTCCATTTAAACAACTAGCCGCCTTGCACAAGTCTTTTGTCTAAAATAGAAAAAAAACAGCATCACATACAGTTTGTAAAACCTGATTCTCATCATTAATTGATAGTCGGGGATGTATGCAATTTTTGGCCGCAGGTGACGAAGAAAAATTTACACAAACTATATATTAACAAGGCAATTTATTCTCCAGTGATCACAAACAACAAGCATCGCTGACGTTCCCTGACCGATGAGAAGCAAGCTTAAGGCTCCAAATTGTTATTTATGAGCCATACATCAGACAGTGAAATATGGAAGTTCGATAGAAATAGTAACACCAATCTTTTGCGGACATTGACTCTTCAAATTCTTTTAACCGTAATTTCCAACTCCATAATCTCAATATTCACCCGTTAATCTAGAAGAACAGGAAGTTGCGATAGAGTTGTCTGTTCTTTTTCACGCACCTCAGACGAAAAGGCCTTGGGAACGTTGTTGCCCTTCAACGAGCCAATCGCCTCGTAATACTGATATCCATCCTCTCGTACCAAGCTCCAAGGTCGCGCTGTCGACTTTGTTTTAGAATTCAATTCACATCTGTGAAGCGGATCACCGCTGACTTGAAAGTTATACGAACTGCAGTTCTTTTCG